CACTCCATTATGTTGGTTGCTCATCATGACTTTTGAATAATTTGTTTTTGCTAGTGGAAGAGAGCTGACGAAACTCATAACAGGGGTGAAATCAGGATTAATTTATTAGTTACGGTTCTAAAAAAATTAAAAATAAACTAACCTATTAAAATTATGAAATCAATCTTAATCAAACTATTTAAATACCGTCTGGTTTAATTTGAAATTACAATTTCACATAAACCATTTATCAATCTTAATTTATAAGAAAAATTATGTAACATTTTCAAAAAAAATGTAGCTTATCATAAATTTTAAAAATGATAATAACATGTCCATTAAACAAACTACACTCAATATGTCAATTTTATTGAGTATTTTATTAATAAAAGAGGTATATGCCATTTTTTAAAAAATTAAATGTTATATATATTTTAAAAAATAAAAAAAAATTATTAGATTAATTTATTTTTCTATTAAAATAATTTTTTCACAATATTTATAGAAAAACTTATGTTCAGTTATTAATGCACTCAAATCAACTTAAGTATTTTTTATACACATACTTTCATTTCATTAATAAAATTTTTAATTCTATCATTGGTGACGTGTAGAAGGCCAACTAACATTTATAAAAGTAACAAAATATTAAGTTGGGTCTCACATTCCAATTATTAAAAATGTCCTTTCTGCAGGGTAGGTGCTGTCACAGCACAGCGGCACCGTTTTGTATATTATATTAAAACAAAAAAACAAAAACACATTAAACACGCCAGGTCTTGAGTTGACTTTCAGGAAAATAAGGGAGAAGCTATACACAAAACAAAAAATAAAAAATAATAATTGAAACACCCCACCGTTTTCTGTAGAGTTCAATTGTAGTGAATGGATTTAGGTGAAATAAAATAGAAGTAAAATTCACATTTGCTATAAGGAATAATAGGTTTAATTAGTTGGAAAAAAAAGTAAAAAATTGTATAGAAATTGAATTTTATAATATTTTTATTTGTCTCAAAATCATTTTTTTTGTAAAACTAAATTTTGGGGTAAATTGCACTGATAGTTCTTATATTTTATTTTTGTGTCATTTTGGTTTATGTAATTTTAATTGATTTTATATTTTTGGTTTTGTCCCAATTTGATTCAATTCATTATAATTGTTAATTTTTTTAATAAAAAAAACGCATATAAGCGACATGTATCACGTAAGGACAAATTTATAAACTTTATTAATTTACGGAGTTAATATCAACTAACTTGGTAACTTTTTTGCATTCAAAATCCTAACGTCATTATCAATTAGACCAAATTGGCATAAAAATTTAAAAATTTAAGAATCAAAATTGAGTCAATTGGAAGTACACGGACCACTATGATACAAGGGACAAAATTTAAAAACTAACGATGTAATTTACTCTAAATTTTAAAAGAAAACCAATGTTGAAACATAAGCCACTTGAAATAAATGGTACGTCAATTACACAACCTGTAACAATCATTTAATATAAAAAATACATGTAACTACCACACACACACATATATATATATATATAAGTGTAACAACTAAATTAAATCAAAATAAAAAAAAAATAAAGTTGAATTGAAACGGTGAACTAGCCAACAAATTAATGTTCAATATCATTTTAAATCTAATCCTTCCCATACCAAATTATTCAAAATTCAAATTCCAAAATCATTAAAATAAGTAAAAAATAATATGATTGAGCCCAATATTTTTGAAGAGTAAAAAACTTACACTAATGATAAGCAATAGTTACATATTAATCAAATATCATCTCTTTCAATTTTGTAAGGATGGTTGTGAATTGCTAAATTAATTAAAAAATTTATTCTTGTCGAAACTTGACGAAGCATCATAAGAGTTTGCACGGTTGAATTAACTGAATTTTCTTGGAAAAAAAATATAAGAAAATGTATTAGAATAAAATTTATTGATTATTTTTTTAAATTTAAGTATATTAAATATTGAGAAATTGATGCACTACATCATAAATTTCAATTATTTATTTATATTTTGTTTATAGCTACTCCTTACTTTTTTTAAGTCAACCTAATCTGAAAAATTGGTGCACGACATCATCTTTATTTATTTATATTTTGTTTATAACTACTCCTTATTTTTTTAAGGTAAACCTAAAAGTATCGTTCACCTAACGTAAGAGCGCGGCATACGGCACTACATCATCTTTATTTATTTATATTTTGTTTATAGCTACTTGATTTGTTTAAGGTAAACCTAAAAGTATCGTTCACCTAATGTAAGACCGCGGCATACAGCGTGCATGTGTTTCAATTTTATCTTTATTTATTTTTTATATATAATAAACAAAACGGTGCCGTTGTATTGTATTGTTATAGCACTATGTTGTGATAGCATCTACCCGCATCCAAATGATATAGCAAGAATTAGACATTTTATCATTAGATGTGTAATAAATTAAAAGTTAATACTTATTACATCACATCATTGTAGGTTAAAGTTTGGACGAGAATGTTTGTTTTCGATTTCCTCTTTCATATAGTGTTCACTATTAAGATGGTCTTGTTCGGGTGAGCAAAAGATTCTATATAGTGTTAGCTCCATTCCTAATGACCATGAAGTTGAAGAAGACCCTTAGGCTTCATTTGGAATGTAAGTTAACTTTTTGACTTTTTGATTATCACTACAAAAAAATTAAGGTTTTAAAGACTAAAATTTAGGGACAAAATTTGTAGCGATCTCGGTTCACTACAAAAAAAAACACAAATGGCGACCAAAAAAAACACAAACGGCGAAAAAAAAAAAAATTCGTCGCTGAAAGTGCATGAAATGGCGACTAAAATGGAATTAGTCGCTGAACATAAGGGTTTTAGCGACTAAAAGAGTTTAGTCGCCGAAAAGCAGGGTTTTAGCGACTAAAAGGAAGTTTAGTCGCCGAATATAGGGTTTTTAGCGACTAAAGTTTGTTTAGTAGCCAAAAGTCACGGTTTTTGGCGACTAAAATAATTTAGTAGCGAAAAGTTATGGTTTTGGCGACAAAAAACAGGTTTAGTCGCTGATTATAGCAGTTTTGCCGACTAAACACAATTTAGTCGCTGAAAGTGACGTTTTTTGGCTACAAAAAAAAATTAGCAGCTAAAGGTCAAGAATTGCCGACTAAAATGCATTTTAGTCGCCCAAAGTAGAGGTTTTGGCGACCAAAATCGAGTTTAGTCGCCAAATGTGCTAGCCTTAGTCGGGTTGTAACTGTTTTAGCGACATAAAAGAAATTAGTAGCCAAAAAATGGAGTATTGGCGACTAAAATTCAGATTTAGTCGCCAAAAGTGCTTACCCTATTTTTTTTGTAAATATTTTATTTTTTACATAAAATATATTAAATAAAAAAAAATTATTTTCATATATACAATTTTGTATTAATACCAATGAATATAGTATATAAATAATATTTGTTGCAATAATAATCATGTGAATTGGGAGTGGCGTAGTGGGTGAGCAAGTGTTGGTAAAGGCATAGTGGGTACAAGTGTTGGGACACAGGTTCGAACCTTGGGACATCCAGCAGAGGCAATTTTTTTTTTTTCTGAAATATGGCTTTGGCGACTAAAAGAGTTTAGTCGCCGAAAGGTGTACCTTTTGGCGACGAAAATCTTAGTCGGGAAATGTTTAAATAATAAATTAAAAAATCACTATTGGCGACTAAAAATTTAGTCGCTAAATGTATAATTTCAAAAAATGGAATTGCATTTGGCGACAATTTGTTTCGTCGCTGAAGACCTGTGAATTGGCGACTAACAGGTTTTTAGTCGCCAAAGGCATTGCCGACCATGGATTCGCGACAACAGTGGCGACTAAAAGTTTTTGTCGGGGAAAGTAAAAATTCGACCTTTGGCGACTAAAAAAGGACCTTTGGCGACTAAAAATTTAGTCGCCAAAGGTGTATTTTGTTGTAGTGGTTTCGACCTTTCTTGCATGTTTTGCCACTTCGACTGGGCAGGTAGGGGATCGAGCTTGCCCGGTCAGCTCGAGGGTACATGATGCAGCGCCCCCAAAGCAAAAATACCTAAAGTCAACCTAAAAGCATTGTTCTACACTTTCTTTTTAGAACTCATGTGTTTAAAAAAAGGTTATTTTTTTTTTATATATAATAAACAAAACGGTGCCGTTGTATTGTATTGTTATAGCACTATGTTGTGATAGCATCTACCCGCATCCAAATGATATAGCAAGAATTAGACATTTTATCATTAGATGTGTAATAAATTAAAAGTTAATACTTATTACATCACATCATTGTAGGTTAAAGTTTGGACGAGAATGTTTGTTTTCGATTTCCACTTTCATATAGTGTTCACTATTAAGATGGTCTTGTTCGGGTGAGCAAAAGATTCTATATAGTGTTAGCTCCATTCCTAATGACCATGAAGTCGAAGAAGACCCTTAGGCTTCATTTGGAATGTAAGTTAACTTTTTGACTTTTTGACTATCACTACAAAAAAATTAAGGTTTTAAAGACTAAAATTTAGGGACAAAATTTGTAGCGATCTCGGTTTCGACCTTTCTTTCATGTTTTGCCACTTCGACTAGGCAGGTAGGGGATCGAGCTGCCCGGTCAGCTCGGGAGTACATGATGCAGCGCCCCCGAAGCAAAAATACAAAATGCATTCGAAATTGCTTGAGCCGCACACGCGAAAAACAGGAGAGGGCTTATTTGGCTACTGCAATAAATGCAGGTGCGGGAGTGCAAGTGCAGGAGAAGCGCCGCACGTGCGGTGGTAGGTGAGTTCGAAATTTTAGTCTTTTCTTCTCTTTAGGCTGAGTGTATCTCACTCTTGTTAGGTCTCTCTCTCTCTCTAAAAACCCTTTCTTCTCCCTTCTCTCTACATTTCCCTACGCCAAATTGGATCAAAACCTTGATTTCTCAAGATCCTTTAGAGTTCTGCCATAGTTTCTTCATCAGAGTTGGTTAACTTCTCGAGAGCTTTGTTGTGTGCGGTGAAAATCGAGTTTCGACACTGTTGATTTAGGGGTTTCATCTCATTTCTTCTTCAAAACTTGAGGTAAGGATTTTCTTAGAGTTATATATATGTTTTTGCAAGATCTATATGATTTTTGAAATCATCTTTCGGTAGCTTTGAAAATTGATTGTTGATTCAAGAAGTTGAGCGCTTTTGAAAGTGGGTTGTCTCTTGTTCTTTTTAAATGATCTTATGGGTTTTGATCTTCGTTGATTGAAGAAAATATAATTTTGGAAAGTTTTCTTTTAAAAGATTTAAGTTGTATAGTTTTGGTGAGAAAACCTATAATTTGAGGATTTTTTTTAAGAAACTGAAAATCCATGAATGATATTGTTATATTTATTTTGTGTATCAAAATAAATGGATGTTTGGAAATTTTCTTATTTATATTTATATAAATGATGAATTTCAGGGAATATGAGAATTGTTGTTCATTTTGGAAATTATTATTCAAAACGTTGAAATAGTCTTGAAATGACTAATTTTTTAGGACACTTGAGAAGAGGGAATTGTGTTATTCCTTGGATGATAAATTGGAATAAAAGTATTTATATTCATTTTGTGTTATTGGCATATCAATTCATTTGATTACATTAAATTTCGAAAGTTGATTTGGAAACATACATTGAGAAAAGAATGTTAAGAAACAAGTTTCCATGAATTGGTTTTGGGGTAAATATGGTGGTAAGTCTTGACAGGGGGTATAAATGAAATTGAATAGGTATTGAGCCTTCTAATTAATACTGGTAAAAATAACAGATTATAGGTGTTGAGCCTTCCAATCAATGCTGGTAAAAATAACAAATTGGTAGTACTTGTATAGTCTATTTGTAGACTCTAACCTAGGAATTACTAGAGTCGTATTTAACACTCTTGAAATGAGTTGTTAAGTTTTGAAAAATTAAAATTGCATGACATTATTGAGCATGAGGATTTTCAAAGATGAAGACGTGATTTTCTTTCAAAAGAGCATAGCATAGCATAGCATGTGCATTTCATTTCTTGAGAATTGTATAAAATGTATATACTTTGTTAAGATTTCTAATTGGGCTTTATGCTCACCCACGGAATTTTTGTGCAGGAAAAGATGTGGTGATACCGCCTAACTAAAAGCGAGGAAATGTGTGTTGAGAGTACGAAACTCTCATTTTACTGTGACTCTGTGTGTAAGCCAATGACTGTATGTGTGTGGATTTGAATAACCGATTTGTGTAATCAGGCTCAAGCCTTGGAAACTTGTAAACCGTTGGGGATATTTATTTATTTATTTACTTGTTGTTAGATTAATGTATTGTTACATGAAGAACTATTATATCATGTAATGTAAATTTGGAGATTTATATTTGATTTTTCTTGAAAGAGTCATGATTGTTGTATTATCATTTGGGTTAGAAATTTGGGGCGTTACAAAATTATTTTTTACATACCAAATATTTTTGTTGCGAAAAGTATCGTTATTATATTTTTTACAACGAAAATTGGACATTAGTGATGAATTAGTATCTATTTAGGACCAAATTTTTTTGTCTCAAAAAATAAACTATTTTGAGACTAGATTATTTTGTCCCTAAAAGTTTATTTATTCATGACATTTTCAAAATTTTGTCGCTAAAAGCCTTAGTTTTGATTTTTCGGGACGACATTTTAACAATTATTCTCATGATGATAAATTGGTCCCTAAATATCTTTTGTAACAAAATTTTTATTTTTAGAGATCAAAATATTTGGTTTGTAAAACTCTTATATGTTACAGTGTATTTTAGCATGGGGCTAAAAAGCCTCGTTTGTGATGGATTTATTTGGTTTTTTTGACTTTTGTGAGAGAAAAAATGAAATGATTATGGTTTGAATGTAATATTTTATCTTATTGATTTCTTAGCTTATTTTGTCTTTTTGTAGTTAAAATAGTCAAAGAAAACCTCTCAAACCCACATGCCAAACAAAGGTTTAGGTGAAGACAAGGTTAGTTAACAATTAAACTATAACTTGTGTGGTTGCTTTGTATCCAAGATTGCATGTTTTTTATTTGTTTTGCTTTGTGGTGTTTTTGTTTTGATTTATATATGGGTTATAGATTTATAACAATTGAATATGCTTGTGTTTATTCATATGAGAAATTACTGGCATATTTGGTTTGTCTCTCGAAATATGTTTTTGGAGAAAAAAAATCCAAAAACATGCTTCGTTGAAAATTTTGGAGAAAAAAATTTTAAAATCACTTTTGTCTCTATTACACATCAATAAAAAAAAAAAAAAATTCAAAATCACTTTTCTCTCTATTATACATCAATCAATTATTTTTTCTCTCTTCTCTCTCATCTCTCCTTCTCAATCAGCTTTCCTCTCACACTCATCCATTCAACTACAAAAAAAAAAAAAAAATCAAATCATTCCAAACTCCAAAAATATTTTTAAAATATACAACTAAATAAATTTTTAAATATTCTAAACTCTCTCTAAAAAATTATTTTTGAAATAATATCTTCTTTGAAATTTAGCCACCTGTGTTGAGTATACATGTTGGCTCAGTCAACCAAAAGCCATCATGCCTTTCTACCAAAGTTACCATTGTTCGGTGCACATTTGTCTAGATATTTGATTTTTAACTAAGATATTTTGTAAAAAAACAATGGGTGGTTTGGCTTGTTTTCAGAAAAAAAGAAAAAATCAAAAATTTTATTGAAATTATTGAAATGAATTTGATAAAAAGAAATATAAAAAAATATTTTTAAAAAATTAATTTTGACCTCTCAAAATAAAATTATATAAAAGTGTGTTTTTGATTTTTTATTTATTTTATCATATTAATGTTTAGTTTAAAAAAATTGAAACAAGTTTTTAAAACTCAAATCAAACATGGGCAAGGTGAATATGTGTTGGCTGGATTTATTTGGTTCTAATGTTTTTTGGCTGATTAACACAATGAAGAAATTAGCAATTGCTCTGATTATACTCATTCAACCTAATCCCTGAAGTAAGCAACCAATGAACAACTACAATCAAACAAGATTACATATTTTTATGGTTACGCCATCTGTGAAACAAGACAGTCTAATATGTGAGTTTTTGATTTGCAATTTTTTTTTTTTTCTACATAGAGATGATACCTAATTTGAATTTAACACTCACTACAAGAATTTACACTTTTGGTGACCAAATTTGACGACTAAACATTTTTTAGTCACTAAAAGTATCACTTTTGGTGACTAAAAATTGATTAGTCGGCGTTGGTTTAGGATATAGCTACTAAAATTTTTTAGTTGAGAAATATTAATTATTGGCGACTGAAGTTTTAGTAAACATGGGCAAGGTGAATATGTGTTGGCTGGATTTATTTGGTTCTAATGTTTTTTGGGTGATTAACACAATGAAGAAATTAGCAATTGCTCTGATTATACTCATTCAACCTAATCCCTCAAGTAAGCAACCAATGAACAACTACAATCAAACAAGATTACATATTTTTATGGTTACGCCATCTGTGAAACAAGACAGTCTAATATGTGAGTTTTTGATTTGCAATTTTTTTTTTTTTTTCTACATAGAGATGATACCTAATTTGAATTTAACACTCACTACAAGAATTTACACTTTTGGTGACCAAATTTGACGACTAAACGTTTTTTAGTCACTAAAAGTATCACTTTTGGTGACTAAAAATTGATTAGTCGGTGTTGGTTTAGGATATAGCTACTAAAATTTTTTAGTTGAGAAATATTAATTATTGGCGACTAAAGTTTTAGTCGGCAAAATGTTCACTTTTGGCGACTAAAAATAGTATTAGTTGTCGTAAGTCAATATTTTAGGCCACTAAATTTTTTTTTTTAGTAGTCATATATAATTTTTTGCCAACAAAATAAATTTTAGTCGCCAAATAATAAGCATATTCTTATGGTTACTCTTTGGCAACCAAAAAAATTAGTCGGCATTTCTTAAGTTTTGGCGATTAAAAAAAATTAGTCGTGCCGTATGATCTTTTATCGACCAAAATTATTTTTAGTCGCCAAAGAATACTTTGGGCGACTAAAAAGTTAGTCGCCATTAATTTGTCTTCGGCTACAAAATAGAATAGTCGGCATATATATTTCATTTGCCGACAAAACATTGATGCAGTAGCCAAAAATGTTAAAAGTTTAGGAAGGGAAACAATTGCTGCCCCGCGCTTCCTCTGTCAGACAAAACGATATTCACCTAGAATGTCACACCACCAAACCTCACACGAAATCACTTCACCGCAGCCCATCGTATGGAGGACGTTGGCACGGCCACTGCCACCGCCGAAAATCACCACCTCCACAGAAGCAGATCACAGGTTCTCTCTCTCTCTCTCTATCTCTCTCTCTCTCTCTCTTCAGCTCGCTCTCTATCTCTCGGTCTATCTGTGTGTGTCTCTCTCTCTCACTCGACCTCTCTCGCTCACAGTCTCTCGCTGTCTATCTCTCTCTCTCTCTCTCTCTCTCTCTCTCATCCTTTGTTTTCCCTTTTTCTGATTGTTGATTTAGGGTTTAATTTCATGTTGATTTAGACTATTTCTTTGTTTCCCCTTTTCCTGAAACCCAGATATGTTGATTTAGGGTTTTGTTCTTAACGTCATAGGCAAATGTCTAACTTTGGCTGTTAATTAGTTGCACATTTCATGGATTCCTCATAAGCTTGCATGTTGAAACAAGGGAAAAAAATTGCAGAAATAGGACCTTAGGAGTCCTTTATGCTTCCCAAAATGAAAATATTCAGTTTGTGAATTTTCTAAGAGCTGACATTGTGATTGAATAACTAGCATGAATAAAGCAAATGTCTATTTCATTTTTTATATTTATTTCCTGGATGACTACACTGTTAGCAATGCTTGTGCTGATTGATATACAAAATAGAGCATGTTAGTCATTATAAAACAATGCAGCTACATCATCTAAAAACTAGGATTGTTCTAGTTTTCTTTTGAGATAAATTTTCAGAGTTTACTGAATTTTGGCTTCTTAAAATGTTTTAAAATAGCTTGAACTTGACATTCCTGCGACCAAATAATTTAGTCGCTAAAGCCCTTATGTGACTAAAAATTGACTTTTGGTGACTAAAAATTTAGTTGCAAAAAGTGAAAATTCTTATAGTGACTCCCAAACTCAAAATTGTGTATCTAATCAAGTCTATTTGTTGATTGATATTACGATCTTAAAACTATCTAAAGGCACCTTAATAATATTGTACATTGTGGTGCATCTTATTCTCATCCAACAACAACGCGAAGCGTGTAAGGGTCCAACTAGTACATTAAAAAAAAGTTGTATGATTTTTTAGGCTTAACGTCATTTCTTCCAATAGTGTTCATAGCGGTTTATTTTTTCTCAATACTTTCTCAATTTATTATGGAAAATTTTATGGTGTGCACCCTATTATAAATTGGCGTAATTTTATTACAAAATTTTGTAACACTAGTCAAAAAAATGTGTAATCTTGTCACAAATTAGCATAATAAAAAATATTATAATCAAATCATAAACTTTTGTAATATCAATTATAAAATTTTGAATATTTTATTATGTTAATTTACAAAAATATTATGTATTGTATAATTAATATTACGAAATTTTATAACAAAATTATGTGAATTTATATTAAGATAAATATGGTAGGTACCATTTACACCATAAATTTTTCCATTTATTATGCTGCAACAATAGCAACGGGAAGGCAAATCCAATAAAATAACCATCACGTGACAAATAAAAACCCATAAACTTGTTTTTTTGCGTCAATTTCCACCAGACGGTTTGGCACAAAATAGACAACTTTAATAATTTGAGCAGATGGATGTTGATTTATTTTTTTTAATTCATCTAAGTTTAAATAGATACTAAATGAGAGGTCACTCGATCCAACCTAATAAGGCAACACTTCTAAAAAATAGAATTATGCTTTTATGCTTCGTGTATAAAAAAATAATTTTTTATTTAGTAATTATATTTGTTATTTATGAAATATGAAAATTGAGTCTTTATTTTTATTTTAAAAATAAACGATAAAAATATTGAGCATAGTAAAAATATTGAAAAATAATTCAAAAAAAGGTCCAAAACAGTAAAGCTCAATCTGCTCAATTTTTTGTATTTGGAGAAATTATCATTTAGTGGTAACAGGAAAATTTATTACAAATTTATTAAAAAAAAATTATGATTTTAATTATTAATATCTATAAAATTTATTATTTATTTATAATTATTTTTTAAAATCTCAATTGAATTGTGATTTTTCCTTTTCATTTCTTTCTTCTTGATTTCCATTTTCGATGGGACAAAAAGAAAACGAGAGACTGAGAGTTTTTTTTTTTTTTTACAGGAAAATCTTCCCACTCTCTC